TTCTGAATTTCAGCAACACATACACACAAACGTTGTGTATCTATACATTTTGTTAGACAAAACAGCCTGTTGCATTCAGACAGGAATTTTTAACAACTGGCATCTGCTTCCAGCTCTCTCACCTTTACTTTCACTACAATATGATGAAATAACTATTTTATATATTTTGCATAATTATCAAAATATCTATACTAGAGATATTTAAATGCTACTAATACTGACAAGGCAGGAGATAACATGATGTCATAAATGGATTCTCATCTTGTTTCCTCTATAACCAGTCATAATCATTTTCAGTAATAGCATTTGCTGATACTTGCTTCCTGAATTCTAAAGCTATATTAAAATACTAAAGTGACTTCAGGATTTACATTCTAGTTAAAACAGTGAAAATGTTCACTTTAAATTAGACTTTTGAAATAATGTCTATCACTGACTTACTGGTCATATTAGTGAAATACATTTATATCTGTGAGTAGCATTAAAATCCTTATAAGAAGAAATATTTTCTCACAAAGAAGAGAGGATATAGGTAAATAAACATAAAGTTTATAGCATTTAATTGAAATTCACTAATTCTTATTTTTTTTTAGTTTTCTTTCATATGAATAATGAAATTTTTTGGCTTAGTAAAAATGTATTTATCTCTCCTTTACTTCTCCTATCATTCTGTCTGATATTTTGGCAGAGCAGCCTTTTGAAAATAAATGAAGAAAATGGTACACTACAGTATATGTTTGCCTGATTTACATCAGCCATAGTTCTCTGCAGTTAATTTTCTTTATAGACTGTTTGATGACTGTAGAGGAAACAGATTAAAAAGTAGATGACAGGGTCCTTGCTCTCAAACAACAGATGTAGGGAGGTAGGAATACAAACAAGTACTTGTATGCTATATAGTGGTTTGTTTTAGGGCTGCACAAAGCAAGTAAGTGAACGCCTAGCAGGTATATTTAGATTGACATCAGATGCCAAGTAAAGTATTCTAGAAGCTGAAATATCTGAATTTAAGCATTGCTCTCATCCTCTTTCTTTGGAACTGGTCCTACTATTTCTTCTTAGCCTTTTGGCTAAGATCAGGTGTGGAACTGGTCCCACTAAGCCTAATATGTCTATCTAATATGTCTATAATAGTCAGTGTGCTCCAAAGAAACAGAATCAGTGGTGTGTCTGTGTGATCAGGGTTTTTAAGGAGGTATTTTTAGGGTTGAATTGACAGAAACTGGTCACAGTTTCAGGGAAGGAGATACTAGAACATTGGAGAGGAGAAGAGAACATGAATAAGCAGAGAGTATGAGGGAGAGGAAAAAAATCATTGTGATTAAATTTTCTAGGTTGGAAGAAGGAGTGAATGGTTCAGAAATTTCAGAAAAGTCATAGAAGTTGAGGCTTTTGTGCGGTGCATTTGAGATGCTTGAGTTGCAGTTGGAAACACAGATATACGGAATGGAAAATGTGTCTCCATTAGTAGGAGACATATGGTCCTATCTTACAGGCAACAGTGAAGCCAGATGAAAAGATGAGACCAACTCAGGAGAATGTGTAAAGTTGTAAGGAGCCATAAAAGTATCAACAAAACTTGCTCTGTAGATATTTGATTGCTGGATTACTTTTACAAAAATGAGGTCCTTTGTGAAACAGAAGAAATGGAAACATTTTACTGAGAAATCTGTAAGATTCCATCCAAGTTCTCAAAAGTAAATTGTCATTTGTTAAGACAGTGGAACTTGTTAGAAATAGCTGCATAATTGACAAGTGAGCTCAAACCTATTTGTTCTCCCATTTCTTGTCTGTAGACAACACAATCCCATAACTGGTCTCACTATGTCCACTTTAAATCACTGCAAAAAATTCTCTACCTAGTAACCACAGAGATGTTTTTGATGATTAAACATGTTGTCAATCCTTGTATAAAATCTCACTTCCTTCCTTGGCCCCTGGCAACCTCTTTATCTGTGTCCCTCCCTCTTCACTTACTAGCCCCTAAATGAACAATACTTGTTTCTGTTCCTGCCTTAGAGCCTGCCTGTATGATAACTACTTAGTAAATATTTATGAAATGAGTGACTGTCTCTGGCTGTGAGAAGCAAATGTAAAAAAGCATGTGATGAGCCTAGCTATGTGCCTGATACATTGGAGGCTGCAACAAATACCATTTTTGACCATTCTCACCCTAGTGTTTTCCCAGTCTATATTTTTGATCCTTCTCTGTCCTTTTCTGGTCAGTCTGCCTTCTCAGTTCTTCCCATCAACAACTTCACTACCTTTGGCATCTGCATCCTTCACAGGCTACATGTGGGTTGACATTTCTTTCTCTTCAATTGGCATTTGGTATGACTTCGTCTATTTTCTGGGCCTTTTCCATATCCATCCTCTCCTGATTAACTCCATTTCCTATTTTACATAAATAATTATATGTGGATTCCAGGTTCCAAGGATACTGGATGTATAATAGTCTTCCTACTGGAAATTGCCAAGGCAACGGAAATCCTCTGGAGATTTGGTTGCAAACAACCTAGGTTGTTATGAGTGTTCCACTCATAAAGTATTATTTCAGTCACACCACTGTCCTGTGTATTTGGCATCAGAATTTCAAAAATGATGCCAACACCCATTGAACACCAACTCTGGGTCAGGCAGTATTCTAAGAACTTTACATATATCACCTCAATTTTTGAGTTTAGTTTTATTAGTATTCCTGTTTTATACTTACCAACTTGCCTAAGGTCATACTGCTACTGATTTGCAAGTTAGGATTTAAGCCCAGGTGATCTAATTTCAGATTCCTGCCCTCCGCTATGCTTTTATATTCAATAGTGCCTCAGTAGCAGTTTCAGGGGTCATAAAGTTAACTTTTATTCTTTAACGTTTGATTTAAGAGTTTTTAAATAATATGCAGTTATAGTTTTAAAAAATGTATAATATTTCCTCCCTACCATTCAAATCTCATTTCCCTCAAGGCAACGGCTGTTAACAATATTTTCAGAGTTTTTTTTTTATCTTATGATTTTTTAAAGCCTCGCAGTATGTTTGCAATTCTCCTTTTAGTACTTTGTCTTCAGAGAAGTCAGCTTATTCTCAATTAATTGGCATAAGTTTCAAATACAAATGGTTCAAACAGAACTCTGATACATATGCATATGTAGGAATAAACATTTATATGGTTGTACACATATATATGCGCACATAACTGGGCTCCAAGACAAAGGTGTCCCATCTATGTCCAAAGCAGATTGCTGAAATGAAATTCTTACCTGGTTGGGACCTACTTATATAAGTCTCTGCCTGGAGACTTTTTATTTGAAAACTCCAAGCTGATAAATTCTTCAAGTTCCTAGGACTAAAACTATTGCTTGACAATTCATCTATGACTCTATCACCTTGTTGCTCTAAGAAAAATGAACAACAGCCCTTCCTGGGTAAGGAAATGGGTACTGGTGCTCTTTTCAATGCATAGCTTTATAGATTCAGGAATCAAATATTGACTGAACAATGTGATGGGTGTTTTGTTTCTAGATCCATATATTTTTCTTCTCTTTCTGCAGAACTTTATAATTTTTAATCAGCAACACAGAAATGCATCTATGTAAATGGCCATACTTTTCAGCATGCAGAACATTTTCTTAAAAAGGGAGGTCACCAGAAGCACAAAGCATAGAAATCCCAGATGGCACTAATATTTGATTTCATTTTTAGCATGCTCATATTCAGCAGATGGATTGGAAGACTGACCTCTCTGACACTTCTGCATCACTGCCTGCTACTCCAATTGCCTTTGCGAATGTTTTTTCATAAGGCTTCTCCCGGTACCTCAGAGATTGATGCCTGGTTGCCTGCCTGTGCTATGCTTCATTACGCCAAGGCTCAGTGTGTTCGAGAGTTGCTGTATTCTATAAAAGGGGAAATCCTAGCTCATCAAACTTTTCCTACAATCTCTCAAATTGCGTGTAACCTCTTGGAGTGTATTGTCTTAGCTTTCTAGGTGTATTTCTGATTTGTATCCATCTTTAACTTATTCTGTCCTAATTTTTCTGCTTTCTCCTGTGCTATGGCTAAATTAAAAAGTACAAAAACGTCTTCTAGAAAAGGCTGAATTTAACACCTTCCAACATACCTACCAAACACAAAATTTAACTATTTTAATGTGAACATTGCTGAATGGGTAGGAACACAGGCCTGGGTTGGATTTCTTTACTCACCATTTCCTAACTTTAGAGCAAACTTTAGAGTTAGCCCAATTTTCTTTTTTGTGAGGTAATGCTATTATTAGTGCCAGGCAGTTAGGATTAATGTGAAAATTAAAGTAATACACGTAAAGTGGTTGTATCAATAACCAGCATAAGAGAATATGCATAATAAATGTTCCTTTGAGGTATGCATAATAATATTGGTTTTATATGTATGTGTATATATATTATAAATAAAATGTAAGAGGTGAAATAATTTTGTTTACTTTTTATTTGGATTACAAAGAAAGCAAATTGTTAGAGTTTTTAATAATTGATGTGTTGTTTGAAAACTTTCTATAAAATTATTTTATTCCTTTTTATAGACCATTGCATAATCCATGCACCTATTTAGAGATGAATTCTGGAAATGCACCACACTCTGCCTCTCCCTCCCAACTTTACCAGCTGCCTTATATATCAATAATGTGGCTAGAGAAAAGGAACTACCACAGGATGTGAATATCCAATAATTTTTGTTTCCCAGCAGGTAGATCTGGGTTACCATGCTACAGAGCTCTCTGGCGTCACTCAGTTCTCAGGATTAGGTGGCTTATGTCTTCTTTTTTTACAAGTTCCCACACAACCAGAGTGTGATGCACGTTTTCATGGATGGTACGCTTTTGCATTGGAAAGAACTGCATATTTAAACCTTTTTGCTTAAATTAGATCTCTACCCAATGCAATTTTGATGAATTTAGATGCATTTAGATGCAGAGAATGCTGCTTTGTTTTGAAGATTTCTTTACGAAGTAACTTTTTCCATTTGTACAGATCTAACATAAGGCCAGATTTTGCAGACTCCAATTTCCATGACTTCAAGATGCATACCTTCACTCGGGTGACATCCTGCAAAGTCTGCCAGATGCTCCTGAGGTAAGCGTGCTCAAGCCTGTTTTTCAGTTTACATGAACTGTTGTAATTGCTAAGTGCTTCACACTTTTCTAGCATTCTAGCCAAAATTTTCTAAAGTGGGGATAATGCCTTCATGGTTTGGACCCAACTGATCTTTGCTAGGCCTTAGACTTGGACAGTTCCTTCATCAGCCCCAGGGAGGACCTCTCCCTCTGCGGAGGGCACTTTGGTAGCATTGTGATACATTTTTTCCCCCTTCTGAGCTAATGATTTCATAAAGGAAGAATTTAGCACCTTTTAATATATCACTCTCTAATTTTACCTTTCAGAGGAACATTTTATCAAGGCTATTTATGTTTTAAGTGTGGAGCAAAAGCACATAAAGAATGCTTGGGAAGAGTAGACAATTGCGGCAGAGTTAATTCTGGTGGTAAGTTATATTTATTATTGGGATTCTGTTTTTAATGAGGGTATAAAACTTGCAAACATAATTAAGGTCTAGCTTACACTTAATATGTGTTTATTGTAACCTATCTTCTTTTGAAACTCATTTTTAAGCACAATTCGAAAATTGTTTAAAATCGTATGACTGTTCTGTGTGATTTTGTATGTATCTTGGAAAGGAAGATCCTCAGGAGCCACTGAGATGTTTTCATGTCATCCATTTCATTAACCCTAACCCTAAATACCATTATAACTACAAATATAGTTAATACAAATAAGCAGTAAGAAAAAACAAAACAGAAAGATTTTCTTCTACCTTTAGTTCTTAATTTGCTTGTTGCTTCTCAAATATTTTTCTCGGAGTTGCTAATGGTGCCACAAGTAAACATCACACAGACTAACTCATGAATTAATGAAATGAATACATTGTCATTTTCTAGCATTCAACAAAGGACATGTATTCTTTGGATTTTATGTAAATATTTTCCAAACAGTCTTTAAAAATAGTGCTCCATGGTTGTTCCATGAGCTTGTTGGCAATTATGCATTCAGTAGCCTTTGCCTCTCCGTGCTCCTCTTGGGCTCTCTCCCTTCTCTTTCTTTTCTAGTCTCTTTATTCTTTCTCTTTCTTCTCTTTTCTCTTTGTCCTTTTCCCCTGAGTTTCTCTGTGTTTTATCAATAAGACTTTTCAAAACCAGTAAAACTTTTTGAACACAAGAAAGGATCTTTAACAGCTTGAGTTCAAAAGGTAGCCATGTCAACCTTTGATTTTCCCAAAGGAAAAGATGGACATTGAATTATTTTGGATAATGTAAGGAAAGGAAACAGAGACTAGCTCAGTTCAGAGCCGAGTTCAGAGAATGGGGAATTGTAGAAAAGGTGAATCCTGTGAGAAGAATGAGATCACAGCAGATTCTTCTCACTTTGCTCCTTTGGTGGACATTTTTAGAGGGCCCTGTGTGCCATTATCTGTGCTAGGCCTGGGCAGCTGCAAGAGCTGCATTAGCTGAACACCTGCATTGTGCTTTCCCCTGCTTGGGTGCTGCAGCATCTTTCCATGTGAGCTCCTTCCGTCTTCAAAAGAGTCCTTTCCACTGCTGATGGATCAGAGTGCTTCTGCACTTTGCTCAAGGTTGTGATTGAAGCAGACAGGATTGTCTTATATTTGTCTAAAGGTCAGAAATGGTTTACAAGGTTGTAAAATAGAATATTGCACATTATTACTATTATCCTTTGTTTGCCTGATACAACTTATCACTTAACTCTCATGGCTTGATTTTTATATGTCCCATCTTATTATCTTTTTGAGGATTAGCAGAACCATGTGTTTGTATAAATACCACAGCCCTGCCTCAAAGAGTTGGAGTCTGTGAAAAACATAAAGTAATCCCGTGGTTAGCGTGGTGTTTATGTCTTAAAGAGTGGAATATGGGAGAATAGTTGAGAGTCAAGTAGAGATGGTTGAAATTCTGGCTCTGCTATTTGCTGGCTACCTGAGCTTTGGGGGAATTGATGTGAACATTCTGAGCTTTCATCTGGCCATCTTCACAATGTAAATTGGAGGATTATTGGAGGTTCTAATGAGATCATAGTGATGCTTACCATGGTCCCAGGGTGCAATTAAGAACTTGCTCTTTTAATCTAGGGTATTACTGTGAGAAGTCAGGTTTTTAGAAGACATAGTCTTATTCTGTGTTTTTTGTATAGTCTGAAGGTAATGTGGATAGAAAAATTAATAAGCACCAAACTTTAAAATGATACTCAAGTATGACTTCAAAGGGCCTTAACAATTCTAATTTTTACATTAAAAAGTCAATAGGAACCAGTCTGGAGTTCCTGGTCTAGCAGGATAGAAGAACGAAGTATAACCAGTATCTGTTCCTAGTCATTAGTTCAGTGTACTCTGTCCATGGATGAGTCATTTTACACTGACAGTAAAACCTGTGCACTTTGGAGTCTTAGTCACATTTGATTCCTGGCTCCTCAGTTTACTCTCTGGGTGCCTTTGGACCCCAGTTAAACTTTTTAAGACTCCAGTTATTTAAACTTTATAAAACTTTATAAGTTTTCATTTCATCCCTATAAAATAAGGATAATAATAGCACTTAGCTTTTACATTTTTAAATAAATGTGTAGTATCCAGTAAACACATTTGCATTAGTAAATCATTTAGTGTTACAAAAATTCTGTAAAGTTGGCTGTGTTGATGTTCCTGTTTTACAGATGAGAATCCAAGGCACAGAGAGTCAGTAGAGCCAAGATCCAAATCCAGGGAGCCCAGCTTCTGGCCTGTTCTCCCAGTCCTGGCAATTAGCTGTGAGGATAATGTGTCAAGTGCCCAGGACCTACTTCTCATAAGCCATCACCTTTGCTTCTCTCTGTAAAAGGGAAATTTTCAAATAATTTTTAAGGCAGAAATACTTTGGAATTTAAGTAAGTTAGGAACTACCAAATGTTTGTATATGAGAATGTCTCCCGATGCTAGGAGAGAACCTGGTATCCTGGGGACTATACCTCCTCACTCGCCACGGGAGCCCTCAGATCTCCAAGTTCTTATGACATGACACTTTCAGATCAAGGATCCCTTCTTTTAAAATGAGACATTTGAATCATAAAATTTGAAAAGGAGGTAACTAAAAATAAGACTCTTAATGACTTGTAGATTAAAGATGTTTGGTTATTCAGATATCGTCCATTAAAAGGTAGAATCATTCTCTAAAATTTGTTACGTAGTTCATTATAAAGCAGGATAGTGGTTTTTTGGGACCTTTGACTAAATTTGCTGCTTGGAATTTAGAACAGATTCTCTTGCACTCTTGAGTCTGTCTTTGCTTTGCATCCTCACCTTGACCCCCTTTCCTCTCTGTTTTGCCTATCTGCCTTTTCTCTGTCTTCTCTTCATGTCCTTTCCTGTTCAAGATTTTGAAGAGACCAGTGACATTGAATCCTTATAGTCAGTTAATTGGTGGTATGAAGTAAGAACCTGCCTAGGAGGCTTCTCTTTTTTCCTTCACATCAGGATTTTCTGAGTAGCCCTTATGAAGAAGGGTTGATGTTAGAGCCGCATCGGCAGCTTTCTCCTCTCCTTTCCCAAGAGGTTGTCCTCTGAAAGTTGGCAGTCATGGTATCCTGTCCTCATACTCACCCTCCCTGTGCTGGTGTAGATAGTAACTGTGGGTAAAGTGTGAATTTGAGGCTGGTGGGTCTGATGTGAGTGTAGTAGACTAGGTGCTGTTTTTGAGACCACAGGCAAAGCCACATTTTATGGACTGTTTGGTAATCTGCCAAGAATCTCTGCATTGCTTAAGATTTCTGTAGATCTTTGTTTTGGCATCCAGGAACCATTGCTTGCAGCAGTTCAGTGAATGTAGTTTTCTATGGCTGTCACAGTATTTGGGGAATGCAGGTGTGGGGAGGGCAGGAGGAAGGAGAAGATACATTAGGAGGTGGAGACAGGGTTTGCTTGAAATGGGCTTTCATGTGGAGGCAGGTGTAGTATCATTTCAGGAGAACTCAACTTTGAGAAATTCATTCCAGTAGGCAAATTTAAAGCAGGTGAATAGTGATTCAAGGAGAATTCAAATGTTTACATTAATCCTGGTTCCCACATAAGTCATAGGTAGCTTGAAATTTATCCCAACTTTATAGCTCCAGTGCTTACCACAGTTAGACTATGTTCTTAAGAGACAAAAGGATTCTGACTGACTTAGTGTGAGTCAGGAAGTCACTTATGGGCCAGAGAGCTGTGCATAGTAGGAATGGTTATGTTGTGGTAAATATTGGAGTAAGTGGGATGGGAAGCAGTCCCCACAGGGGCAACATGACCCCTTTAATCAACACTAGCTTTAGAAAGGAGTGGCAAATGGAGAAGAGTCACGAATTATACAAAATTATAAAATAATCCAGGGACTAAATGAAGGCAAAATAACCTTCCATTCTGCCTTCCAGTTGTCAGATCCTCTGGTTATCACATTTCAAGGGTTAACTTTCTTTATCTTTCTCTCTTATTTGACACTGTTAACAGTCTTCTCGACATTCTCCTTCACATCCATCATACCCCTCATGCTATCCTTTGGAGATCTGATTGGTTTCTCTGGTTTTGGCTACAACCTGTACCTCAGAGAGATAAGGCTTCATCTCTACAAGTGACATTTTTTCTGAACTCTGAATTTAGAATTTCCATCTTCTCTTCACTTGTCCTCTCCTGGGTGTCTTGTGTGACCTCAAACACCATATCTAACACCAACCTCATTAGTCCTATCACTTTCCTATTTTTTTGTCTTAGTTAAAATTCTTCCATTCATGGACACATCCAAACCTTCCATTCATACATTAACCCCAAATTTACTCATATGGAACTGCTATAGGTAATAAATCTCATTCCCTTTTACTAGGACCATTTCAAAAGTTTCTTCATGCCCTACTATTAATCTTACTCCTATATAATTTCTAAAATTACCTTTAAAAATCTTTTAAAATCCAGTATGATTACGTCACTCTTGTTTACTGTTGTCTATTTTTAACAGAAACATGTCTAAACCTTCCAGTGTGGCATACAGTGTTTCAGATCATTGTTCCAGCCCTGTTTTTACCACTACTCCCACTCCCCAGTCCATACTACAACTCTGTTTACTCATAGTTCCCCAGTGATTTTTTTTCATGTTTAAATATCTAAGTGTAATTTGTCTATTTCAGTATCGTTCTTTGTTTGTTAAACATATTCATTTTTGAATGCTCAGAGAAAATGTTGCCCTTCCCTTTGAGAACTTTTTCTGATACTCTCGGTCCCTAGGCTTTCTTCATCTGTTCGTCCTTTGTGTGGCTCTGGCTCCTTATAATTACTTTCATCATAGCATCAGCCTCATTTATTATAACTATCTTCTTGGTAATCTCTTCAGTTTGGCTCAATTATAAGAACCATAGATTATTACTGTTTTGACCTCAGGGAAGACATGGTGTATTGATAAGCAAGTAAATAGACCATCA